CAAGCTGGTAGGCTCTTTGACAGCGCGTAGCGTCTAAGTGGGTGAGTGGCCCTTAAAACGGGCCGGTCCAACACGAGGCCTAGTTCGGACTTCGGCAGGTGTTATCGGAACTGCGCAACCATAACAAATGCCAACATTCGGGTTGCGGTGGCGCATCCATTTACTACCCGCCCACGCCGCGCCAATCAGGATCTCGACTGTCCTTCCACTGTTGTTGTTGGTAAAATCTTGGTCAAGTGTTTGTTGTGCACCGGGAGTGTGACGATACGCATAGGTGTGGGTCTCGCCGTGCCAGCTACCTGCGCCCTCCCACGCGTCCGGTCTTCTTGACTCTGTCTTGACACCGAGCCCGGATATCGAAAGAAGAGAGAGTGCGGTATATACATTGAAACTCCACTATCACTATAAAAGACATCACGCAAAAGTCACCATGTCTGCTCTGTCGGCGGGAATCGTCGGTCACAACGTTCGAACTGTCGAGTGTACTCAGAACGCCCAAACAACTGCGCCCAGTCATGATTTGAAGGAGAAGACCGAAGGCACCATTATGAGGAGTTTTATTGTGTACAGCATCTCGAATCGCCGTGGTCACTGATGAGACCAGGGAGTTTCCCAACTGTATTAAGTCGTGATGCATAGAGATCTGATGTGGTTGAGGTGTCAGGTGCCTAAAGAGGCTAGTGAAGAGCAGGCTCAAAAATCTTTTGTCCGAATGGTATGTGTGTTGAATTACCCGAGGCGTAAGGCGTCTTGTGGCCTGCGTTGGCGAGGAGGCCTGCTTGTTCAAAGGGAACATGAACGGCTGTGACTGTCTGGTGGCATGCGTGTCCCAGCTGAAGTCGATCGGCTGAGAGTAGATAAAGCTGCTTTGCATTGGGAGCCTTATTCATGGAGTTGAGCGAGTGTGATTCATTTGGAACCCGAAACAAACAAGCTAACTAGTGAACTGATAAACAGTCACAGCTCCCTGCATGTAGAGCAGTCTTACTACATGCCCTTCAATCATCGGCTCCTATTTCTTTTTAGGTGGCCTCTGGTCTCACTTTCTCGCCCCTCTCATCTGCCAGTGCAACTTATTAATCATGGCGGCTGCTTTGCAGGCGTAGGCCTGCGCCTCTGGAGTTTGCGATGTAGTTAGGGAAAAGTATGATAAAAGGTCGCTCACCGATCAGGTTACGGGACGTGCTCGTTGAACAACCTGCCTTGGGGCCTAATTTAGAGTCCTCGTGGACAATTGCGTACTGACAAAGACAAGGGAAACCAGAGTGATCATTTATGGCCTATTAGCCGTCGTCAGTCAGCTTTACCGAACCCCAGGCACTTGAGGTTCGAAAACTGTTTCTTTTGGGTATTAGACGTTAGTAATTCCACCTCTCTAATCATTGGGCTTGTTGTCCTGTCAACTGTGATCGGTTATATCAACTATTTTGGGAAGGCGTTCCCTTGCCTGTGTCCATACCAAGTTATCTACAGATATATATATATATAGGCAGAATGGCATTACCGACAAAACAAGGGAGACTGGAGTGGCCATTTCCGGCTTATTAGCCGTCGTCAGCCAGCCATACCCAACCCCGAAGTGTGGAACATCCGAGGCTCGAACTCGCGACCTGTTAGTTAGAAGTCCACGCCTCTAACCACTGGGCCACAAGCCCGTTGCCTTGTCGGTTTCGATCGGGCATATGCAGAGGTAGGGGGCGCTCACCGATCGTCCTTACGGAACTCACTCGTTCCGTTGTGCCTTACGGGCTCTCTCTCGAGCCCAACCAGCAGCCGCATAGCGGCGCATGATATAGGCAGAATGGTATGACCGACAAAGATATAGATCTATAGATACTACTAATATACAAATACTAGGCGCATCCTCCACTTCCGAAGCAACCACCCTGTTGGTCATAAACGCAGTTGTGTCAGAACTCTCTTTCAACGTGTTCAAACACACTGTAGCGACGACAGTGGGAGGAAGGCGGAGATGAATTACTTACAGGGCCTTTTTAAAGCCAACGGCTACCCGAAGTCCTTCATACGCAAATGCCTTAAAAAGCCTCATTTTGAGCGGTCGAGTGGAGAAAAGCCCAAGCTCTGGCTCTCAATACCCTATGTGAAGAACGTATCAGAGGCAACGGCAAGAATCCTAAAACCTTTTGGGATTGGCGTGGCTCATAAACCAGAATGTACCATCAGACAGCAAATCATGAAGCCCAAGGACCCGCTACCAACAACAGAACAGTCGGCGGTGGTCTACAGCATACCATGTCTAAATTGCAATGCAAGGTATGTTGGTGAAACGGGCAAACGCCTGGGCACAAGATTGCACGAACACCAACTTGCAATCAACCGCAACGACAAGCTGTCTTTGGTCTATGGCCACATACGAGAACTGAACCACGATTTTGCCTTTGAGAAAGCGAGGGTAATTGGCAGAGCCAATGAGAAGATGGCCAGACTGGTGCTCGAAAGTTGGTCCTCGGCTGGTACACTCAACCGAGCTATAGACCTACATCCCGCCTATCAGGCGCTGCGTACAAGGCTCGGATCAGTCCGGACAGGACCAGTAAGGCAAGCGAGCACGCGGGACCGAGAGCCAACGCTCACGGAAAAGAGCGGAATTGGGGGCCAAAGGTCATGTGACCAAAGCCGAACACTGTCTCACCGATGCACCCGCGAAGATGAATGCTGCTCACCAGAACAGCAACGACCGATCAGTCCACCGGCTGACGTGGGAGGGACCAAGCGGCACGTTGATTTGACCACAACTAAGCCGACCCCAAAGGGAACAAAGGTCACGCAGGCCTATCAGCGGTCAGCTCCGGGGAGGTCTAAGCCAGTCAGCGGCAAACAGGCAGGTCAAAATTCGTGCGTCCAGCACGACTATAATACGAGACAAGCGGCAAGACTGAATAACTCAAGACCCGCAAGTGCAACAACTACACTACTCGGATGATGGAAACGAGGAAGTTTCCGAAACGTCAGTTCGAATACAAGATAGTCCATGGATTCGCCCTCTCTTCTTCTTCGTCTTCTTCGGGAGATGATGAACGAGATACTACTATATATAGATACCACTAGTCGCGGGGGGTTCTAGGTTGAACCCCGAGGGCAAACGAAACGAGCGCTTCCCGTAACCTTATCGACGAGCGTCCCTCCACCATAGGTAATACACTCGATCAAGTCCGACAGGACAACAACTCCGTGGCTCAATAACCAAAAGAATCCGGTTTCGAACCCTAGGTGTTCTGAGGGCTGGAGTTGGGAAGGGCTGGCTGACGATGGCTAATAAACCGGAAGTGGCCTCTTTGTTCTCTCTTGTCCCTGTCCGTAGTCTCTCCCCTATATATGCAGAGCAATATTACCGGCAAAGACAGGGGGACTGGAGCGCCCGTTTCTAGCTCATTAACCGTCGTCAGTCAGCCATAGCCTACCGCAGGCTTTTGCAACCTCTAAGACTCGAACACACACGCATGCAGCTGATCTTAACGTTGTGAAAAAAATAATCTACTAAGTCGATTAGCCAGCCAGTCGCATCTCTCATCATGTCACCCAGGTCACATCAGACCATCTCCTGAGCCGCGGTAAAGGCCATTAGAGAAGTAAAAAAGAACGACGAAATCGGGGAAGTGTCTTGGTCTCCTTACGATGACGAATACACAAATCTAAACTTGCTTCGGCTCGCTATCCACTTATCCCCTTGCATTTTCCACAGAACTCTCTGTCTTAAAATGACGACGAGGGCTGGTGCGTCTCATTACCGCGGTTATGCATAAATTTCTCCCAGCGGCCAGAGAGGGGCGATTTCGAAGTGGGCTCTGGAGAAGCGAAAGTCCTAGTATTGCAGATGATTTTACAGAGAAAATCCGCACCTTACCTTCCCCTCACGTGTTACCTTTGGTTTTGTCGTCCGTGGTCTACATTGGGTGATGACTGACCAGTACGTAGAAGTGGCACCTCTCAGGCCGTCAGGGCCTCTTGACACCCGGTGCTAAAAGAAGATAAATTACTCGGAATTGAGGCGTGCGGGGGTTCTACCGTGTTTCTGAGTTTTGCAATCAACCTCTCAGGCTCTGGCCTATAACACCTAAGGACTAGATTTGTCTTAGAACAGATACTTGAGTATAGAGCAAGTGACTGATTAAGCACAGATTAACCACAGATTCTTCGACGATTTTAAAATTATTTTTGTCCGAAGAATCATCTTGAGCCAAACGTCGAAAACAGATCTGGTTACTAAATTTCCGACGAATTTGCGCGCGGCTTAATTTTTTCGCCATTGTGCTTGATCGTGATTTGTGACATAGCGTGTTTGTATGCAGTCGGCCGCCCTCAGATTTACGTAGTCAGCTGAGCTATAATTGACAGTCCACTTCACATCCTTGAATGATCTAAATAACCGCTATTTTGAAGCATGTCTATACCGGCAAAAGTGGAACGCTGTCTGCTAGCTAAACTATGGCATTGACTCTGGTAACCTTCATAGATTTTGCTGAAAACATTCCGCTAGCGGTGGGTGTTGTGTCATTTGCAGCATGCCGCACGAACTTGATCGAGATAAAAAAAAACTGCCTAGTGAACGTGATTTCGGCGAAATTACGTTGCAAGCTCCTTGGGGGTGTTAAGATAGAGAAGGTGGTCGGTAATAACAGACAACTTTTACCTAAATTCCTGGGAAATTAAGGTAACCGGTAAGGCAAGAATTAGGACAACGTCTAGAGTTGTGGTTCGGGTCAGGTTTAAGGTTCGAATCATGCAGAATAGCATTACCGACATACACAAGGTAGACCGGAATGGCCATTCCTGAATGATTAGTCGTCGTTAGTCAGTCATACCTAACCCCGAAGTGTGGAGCACCTGGAGCTCGATCTCACGGTCTGTTGGTGACAAGTTCAACGCCCCTAACTACTGAGCCACGGGATCGTTGTTTTGTCGGTTGCGATTGAGAATATACAATGGTAGAGGGACTCTCACCGATCGTCCTACGTGACTCACTCGTATTAGGATTAGTTTAAGGGGTACGACACGGACATAGGTAACATTCCTGGAAGTTTGCTCAAGGCCGCCTGTATTACGGGGGGGGAGCGTTCCTACTCTCGTGTCCTACCGAAGTGGGAGTGAAGGTGGGGTGGCAATTCCGTGCATTACTTCAGTTGTATGGCCGAATGTCCGCAGACGTAAAAGGAGCATATTGCTTCATGTACGTTTCTTCGGCAATCGTACCTACGTTGGCGACCAGTAAGCGGCCCGTCTGACAGCCAGCGTACAGGTTTGTATGAGATACTTCGTACACTAATCGGCACTGGTGGTGTCCATTAAGTAATACTTTGGGTCTACGCAAGAATGGGACCTCAATTACATGTGATCATGCACACACTCCTTTGTCCTAACTTCAACCCCACCCATCGCAACCTGGACCCCAAATCCAACTCTCCTACACCTAACTCAGCCCGCACGTGTATATGAAATACTTCGCTGTTTCTAAGCATTTTATTCGACATTGCAGTATTAATTAACTAACGCCTTCTAATCGAGACCATACGTTTCAATTCCAGTTGAAATGTCAGGATTTTGGTAGTCATCGGTAGACCTAAAATCTTTTGAGTGTGTCCTCTCAGGAATACACGTGTTGGAGGTTTCCCCGCTCGCTTTTGTCTGTCTTATTTCGGTGAATGCGGAAAAAAGCATTTGGAACTCCTTTTGATAATTAATTTGCATTTTGTTACCAGTAAAGTTTTTCATCCTGTTAACTGCTTATAACTCGCAGCTGAAGGCTGGTAAGACGGAGTGTTTTCAATTTGAGATGTCCATATTCGCAGTTAAGGGTAAACATTCTCGGCATTAGCCTTAGTTGCTTAAGACGAGGTGAGATAGGAATCGCGGTGTACGTGTATACTTAACGAATCCTCATCCTCCTCC